GGAAAGGCAAAGCCGCCTCTTCTGCGGCGTTTCACCCTCCCCAGTAAATCAGGCAACCCAACGTGGAGGGGGGCGGAGCTCCGGGCCTTACACCAGCCGCCTGATCTGGCAGAGGGAGGCGGAGCACAGTCACCTCGGGCAGGATAATCTGTCTAGTCATGGCTTGCGCTGGCCAAGCCTGCTCCTTAAAGGGCCCGTGCGCCATTTCTCCCAGGGCCCCGCCGGGGAAACACGTGAGGCGGCTCGACAGGGAAGTTCGCGCAGCGCAGGGGAAAATGGAGCTGGCTCTGCCCTGCCTTTCAATACAGGGAGTTCCCTGGCGTGATTCATCCCTGCACAGAGAAGGGAAAGCAGCCTGCGAGCGCCACAGGTGGTGTAAAAAAATCAGCACCAAAGGCTTAAAAAATAAAGGCCTGATCTTGCAAAGCACCATCACTCAGCTCCACTTGTTTTAGAACATAACAGCCACTAGACTGGGTCAAACTAACAAGCCATCTAGCCCAGTGTTTCTCAACCTTTTTTGTATAAAGTAGCCATCACTGGATAGTTCTCTGAAAACATCCACTCAATGTGCAGCGGCAGTCAAAAAAGCAAATAGAATATTAGGAATCATTAAAAAGGGGATAGAGAGAGATCTTGCAAAATTAGTCCCCATCATATTGTATGTATAGTTGGGATTATTTTTTCCAATGTGCATTACTTTACATTTATCAACATTACATTTCATTTGCCAGTTTGTTGCCCAGTCACTTAGTTTGGTGAGATCTTTTCGAAGCGCTTCACAGTTTGCTTTGGTCTTAACTATCTTGAGCAGTTTGGTATCATCTGCAAATTTTGCCATCTCACTGTTTACCCCTCTCTCTAGATCATGTATAAATAAGTTGAATAGAATTGGTCTCAGGACAGACCCTTGGGGGACCCCGTTAGTTACCTCTCTCCACTCTGAAAACTAACCATTTATTCCCACACTTTGCTTCCTGTCTTTTAACCAGTTATCAATCCATGAAAGGACCTTCCCACTTATCCCATGACAACTTACTTTACTTAAGAGCCTTTAGTGAGAGGCCTTGTCAAAGACTTTCTGGAAATCTAAGTACAGTATCTTCACTGGATCCCCCTTGTCCACATTTTTGCTGACCCCCCTCAAAGAACTCTAGCAGATTAGTAAGGCACCCTCTTCAGTGAGGATGCCTGCTAAGCTCCCATGTTCCCTCGAATCTTTTCCACCCATGTGTGGATTTTTCCATCCATGTGCAGAATAATTTTTTTGTGTGCACTGAGGCATGTGCATCTCCAGCAGAAACAAAACCTACCTGTGGGTGCTCTGCTAACCCACTGGGCGGCATTGGAATTTCTCCTGAATAGCTGCACAAGCAACTCGGAAAGTCAGGCCCTAAGCACCAGATCCTGCAAAACCAAGCACCTCTGAGCTGCTGGCCTGAAGAACAGCTCTGGGTACACACTAGAGCTGGTCTCTCGCA